TTCCTTGCGCTGCGGCCCCGCCTCCCGAGCAGCGCTCCGCTCTAGGAGTGCGCGTCTGTGGCCTTAACCCTTGCCGGCCACGCCTGCAGCTGAGCCCCACCTGGTTGCGCTTGGAGGCTGGGCGAGCTGCGTGGAGCCGGACGCTGAGCAGGGAAGGGGGGGTCCCGACGTGACGCCAAAGCCCGTCCTTCCATCCACCAGACTGTTCTCCTTTCAACGTAAATCCTCTCGCGTGAAAGAGTTGTTTCTTGTCGTTTGGCACCATCTAGTCCAGTGTTTTTCAGCCTTGGCAACTTGAAAATGTGCGGACTAGCTCCCAGAATTCCCTGGCCAGCATGCTAATAAGTTTATTCCACCAGTATCCCTGGATGGATTCGCTGTCTCTTGTCCAAATACCCACTTCCACAGGAGTACAAATATCTGAAATAGCCAGTGTGACCGGCAGCGTCCACCTGACATCTCAAGATCCAGCATCACTAAGAAATGCCAGTATGTGCTCAGAAGAACCTCTAATGGAGAACATCGGTTATCTCGAATCACTATATATTGGTCAACAACCTTTTTTCAATTTCTACCAGAGAATGAAGGGTCGTCTCTTATTTGGTAAACTATATTTGCATCCTGCTGTCTCTCAAAAATCTCAGAAAGGGTCTACATTTCATTGTTCCGTTTACTGGTAGAACGGCCTAATGAAATGGCAAGGCAGAACTGGGAAAATTCAAGGTAAAATTAGGTAAAATTCACATTTGAACTGGGAGTGGAACCTAGGCCCAGTCCACTGCTACTCACTGTGCCGACTTTATGTTGGGGCTTGTTATATGTATGGCAAAATCCGACTCCTGCTCTCTTAAGTTCTTCCATTTGTCACTAATGATTTAGAATATTCAGTGATTTGAGGGTCATTTTCAGATTTAATCACTTACCAGGTTGCTGTCTTTATTCCTGAAGTTGATGAATGGAGAAATAAGAATAAAGGAAACCCACCTCTACCTCAGAGTTCTCATATCAGGGAGGAACCCTATACAGTAATACCACGATTCTGTTCACGAACAATTCAGTTTGCGAACAGCTACGTTCGCAAAATTTTGCTTCCGTTCGCAAATTCCTCATCGGGTGACGAACACGACCCACGGCCATCTTCCCTGCTCTGACACGTGGTCGTGGCTTCCTCTAGGCGAGATCGCGGTCGCAGACAAACATTTGCTGTGAAGCTTTTTGGTGTCGCCTCAAGCAAGGTTAGTATTCTCTCTCTTCATACTGTACTG